GCTCGGGGCAGCGGCGGGCTGGCGTGGCCCGCGCGTGCGCTCCCGTTGGAACGGGCTGCTGAGGGAGCTGGCGGAGTAACTCCCTGCAGGTGCTTATGGAAAGACTGGATCTGGCACTTGGTGCCGTGGCCTAGCTGACAGGGTGCTATTGGCTCACAGGTTGGACTCGATGATCCCAGAGACTTCTCCAGGCTGATGGGTTCTGCGGTTGTGTCCCGCTCGCATGCGCTATCGCCGCCGCTGGCGAGCGGGACACGGCGCGGGCCGGGGCGCTCCAGCCCTGGCACTGCTGCGTGTGCCACGAGAGGGCAGCGGAACCCTGGAAACCCGGACGGGAGCGCAAACCTGTCCCAAAACAGGCACTACGTTAGAATAGATATTTCCAGTGTTCAGAGCACAAACACTTTGGCTCCACGTAAATAACAAGCTGTCAAAATAACAGGGCTTATCGCTTCAGATGCTGTGCTGGTAATTGTCCACGCCTAGTTGTCAAACGAATCACTATTTTAAACTTGCTCCACGCACACGATGACCTGTGCCAGGAGACCTGGGAAGGGGGAGGGAAAAAGCAAAGAAAGGCAAACAAGTCTAGTAATAACTGAGGTGGATGGCATTCTTCTCATTCCCAAGGCCTGACAGGCCGATTCTGGATAATGTGATTTGTGGAAAAGTCATTCTGTTCTCCAAGGCATAGTTCAGAGGTTAACTGGAGATGGTTCTACATCCATTTGAGGGAATGTTAGCAGGGAGTAATGTTATTAATCCCAAATAATGTTATTTTATAGGCATGGTGACAATCAAACGCACTTTTTTCAAGCCTCTGTTTCACTTGCAAATATTCTCAAGACACCATAGTGAATAAACAACCTCTTATTTTCTATGGCACCTTTCATTCTGTAAAACCTAAAGTGCTTTCAAAAGTATACTATTAAAGTAGAAAAATCAACTAAATGACCAGTGAAAGGCATCCAAGCAGGAACATGGTGGTGGCTGCATGGTTCTCGACACTGTTGCAGGCAGGAAGCAGGTATGAAGATGCCCCTAGAACTTAAGGAGCACTTTGGAAAATTGCAAAGATTTTGTCTGAGATATGAGTGATAACACCTTTACTACTTCAAAGAAAAAACACCATTAAGTCTTTCCTTCCCATAAATTGTTCTTATCCAGAGAATAAACCTCTCCGTAAAATATGTAACAGAATACAAATGTTTGATTTGTATGTGTATCTCGCATGCCCATACACGCTATTTCGTAACATCATTTAAACAATTTTTAGAACTGTGAGACACACATACTCCACTTTACCTCAGATTATCACTTAAATGAGCTGGCTTTGTTTCAGTCATTTCCTGCTCTGCCCAACACCTTTTCTGCAAGCAATTTGGGATGGGAAGGGATTTGCCTGTGGGTAGTGGCATTGTGGCTCCCTGTGGGTGGCTCAGCATCACGATTGCCATTCATTTTTGCAGGGAGAGGCTGTGCTGCTGTGCAGGGGCTCTCATCCTCCGTCCCATCACAGCTTCCGTGGCTGCATCCACATCCATATCCCATGGAACCCCCGCTATGTGCTGCAGCAGGAGAGGGGCTTTGAGCTTCTAGGAGAGTATTTATTTGTCCCTGTGTGCAGTGTGTTTCTGTGTGTTCAAAATTGTTGTCATTTAGATCTAGAATATTATTTTCCTTGTTTATTGGTAAAAGTCATCAGGAAAAAATTGATTGAAAGGTAATTAGCCATCTCTTTGGTGACATTCTTATATCCAACACCCACAAAACATGATGCAATTAAAGCTTTGTAAAACATGCCTTTTAAAAAAATACTTCAGATAAATGCTACCAGATCAATCAGTTGTGGTTGAAACCTGTTGGACACATACCATTGTCTGTTTTTAACATCCCACAGACAGACAGACACGTAGAAGGGGAGTGTGCAAAAGATTCATGTCCAGTCTTGCAGACAAGGGCAATTAGCCTGGCTTAGCACACGTAAGGTGATGTCAACAAACATCCTCCTCCAGAAACACCAGATTCCAATACTGTGGAGTGAGTATGTGCTGCTTGTCACTGCTCCTCTCCAACTGCTCTCAAAACTGAGACATCAGTATTTAATATTAAAAAGCCTGAGGTAACAAGGGGTATAAGGCAGTCCTTATGTAAATTGTTCATGGGGTAGGTTCTTAGGAATTTGGAGTAGGGCTATTTCTCCAGCAAAAGATATTAAATGGGCAGAGCTGAGAGCACCTTCCACAAGTGTGCTGGGATCCAAAAATTTATATGTCTCCATTGCATAAATCTCCATTCACTGCTTAGCCCAAGCAAAGGAGTTTTAACATGTAGCTTCTGTCCAGAAGCAATTTATTTACCTCATTAATCAGTGACTTATTACTGAAGTGCAGAACATCACTGGTCCATCAGCTTTTGTTTCAGAAGATGAAAGTCCCTCATAACACACCTGGATGCTTCTACAGTCCAATGCAAGGTGCAGAGAAAGATGAACCTAGTGGCATAGAGGGGGCTGGGGGAAATTACAGTGCAAGAGAGCAGATAAGAGTTGGAAAAATGCAGACTGTAAACAAAGACGTTTCTGTTCTCAGGTTGGCCAAGTGGTTGCTGCTAAGTCACAATAACCCTGGGTTGTCACCTTTGAATTTTACTTGTCATTCTGGTATGCAATACAAGAATGTGTGTCGTTTCATCATTCTCCTTGCCTGCACAGGTTACCTAATTAATTTACTACAAACTATAAAAGTAATTCCTTGTACTAATTGCTTTGTCTGCTGCATGACCAAAGAGGAAGCTGGGACTTTGAAACAAGGTGGTTTTCTTTAGGTGAGAAAAGTGAGACATACAAAGTCAGGCTATTTTGTCTTTGTCTTATTCCCTCGCAATATATGTACAAAGCTTTCCTACTCCTGATAAAATGAGAAAGTCTCAAAAACACTCCAGCAGATAGCAGTAGATCCCTGACATTTGGTCATTTGTGTCACTGATGTTCAAATTTAAATGTTGGGGTTTTTTTCTGTTTTTTTCCATTGTTATTGTTGGTTGTTCCCTTAAGAATTAAAGACTGCTTAAACACAGTAGTAGAAGCCAAGAAGACCAATTGCTCTTCTTCACAGTAACAAACATTGTTGTTATAAGTAAAAGAAATACTATAGCAGGATCTTGTTCTCCGTCCACAAGTACAGTCTTCAGGTGGTCAGAAATTTCAGAGATTGAGTCCAGTGGATTGGCAAATTTAACTAAAACGCTTGTAACTAAAAGTTATACATCAAGTGTTTTGTTATATGTGTTATACATATGTGTAGGAAAAAAGTAGGGGAGTGTCGGGTTTCGGCAGGTAACCAGAATGCTGTATATACAATAACACTAGATGGCTGCAGCGTCTCCAAGAAACTGCTGGCGTCTGCAGGTTTGATTTTGCAGCTTGTGCACCTGAAATACACACAGTGTGATGTGTTGATCAGTGGAATGTGTTTGTGTGCCAGCCCCTCTGTGTTAGTAGGCAATCCAGTTCTCTGATCCTGCAGGCAGAGCTATAGGATGGGCATTTGCTGACATCTAGACTTAAGCATCCCACCAAATGACATGAATATCATGCTGTGGTGGGGCAGCCTTCCTCCAGATTTGTTATGTCCCTGTTACCAGGAGCTGAATCACATGTGAAGCAACTCCTGAGACACTAATTTCTAACCTGGCCTTTTGAGAAACCTGATATCCCCGTAACTGCCAGGCAAAGGGTGGAGTATGCAGAGGGAGGCAGAAACCTCTGTGGCCATTCAGCTTTAATCAACCATATTTGTTTGTTTACAAGGATGTCTAAATAATACCACCCACCATTCTGTTCATCAACATCCCAAAGGTTTCCAGCATACAGTTCTCAAGTTTCTAGCTCCTGTTGCAACATGCAGCCCGGACCAGACAGAGCAGGATTTGGGTTGTCAGGGAAAAGGATTGATAGCGGGATGTTACGCTTCAGCAGGTAATCTGTTCTCTTGAGAAGCAGGATCCTTCCTTAAAAGATGCTGCAAAAGTGACAAAATAATTACCATGTAAGTCTGACAGTTTCAGTGAGCTCTTAAACTGGTGTTTGAATACACAACTTTTATTCATATATTAGATGAATTGTTGCTTGTGTCTTCTCACAATGACCAGGTCTGGATGTTTCAGCATCACTGTTTGTAACTGATAATACATCTGCTGAGAAATGTCAGTTTAATCAGCTCATCACCCAGTCCAAATCTTTCAAGTATAATTTATGTCAGCAGTGTGTTCCCTGGCTTACTTTGGGTGTCACAAAATCCCCTTCTAGTTTCTCTGCCCATAATTGTTTGGCTCTTTGCAATATTTTGTGGCTGTGTATCCATGCAGGCATCAAATTCATGTGTAATGAGACCTAATACTTTCTGCTTCAAAATTACATTCTGCTCTCCATTGACACGTATGCGTACTAGGATCAGAGCTTACAACTTCATTTCGAGGCACCCCAGGAAGGTCAGGTGGAACCAAACCCTGGAAGGCACCTAACCATGTTGCACAAAGCTCCTGCCTGGTACATAAAACACCTTTTTGCTTGTGGCTGCAAGAAATTAAAATGTTACTGTTAAGGCAGAGATGAAGAGCACAGAAATTCTTCTGTGCTTTAGTTTGCTGCTCATCACTCTTGTCAATTTGCCAGTTAAGCCTGGAGATCCTAACATCCCATCAACTGCAGCCTGTGACCCACTGGGTGTTGAGAATTCATAAACTAAGGGATCTGGAAAAGCTGATCACAGGATGCAGCTTTGCATGTGCTGCACAGCAACCCACAGAGGTGTGAGCTCAGGGAGTTCTCACCTTGATTTGAGCATGCCAACTCCCTGCTTCTCCCCACAGAGTCAGCTCTAACCAGGAATGATTACATTTTTGAGTGTCACATGAGACAAGGACCTTTAAGTCACACTGAACAAAACCCACCCCTTGTGAAATTTTTGCTGTCAGGCTAAGGAAGGGCACAAACATCTGTGAGCTCAATGTATACCAAACATGCATGTTGAAATCTTACTACAGGTTGAGAGCACAGAGTGGGGAGACGTATATGCACAGGCAAACACAGTGCTGATGACACAAGAGTGATAGAAGCACCACAATGCTCACAAAACTGTGCATGGGTAATAAACCAGATCCTTTTGTGGGTTTTGATTGCAGGGATTCAGCTGGATCTGATGACAGCTGGTTTGCATGAGACAATCAGTCTTGCCTTTGGTAACTCATTCAGAACTGGGCTAGCTACAGTATTTATCACCATCTAATGTTTTTTATTCATTTCATCATCATTACAAATATCAGGAAATGCTGCACAATTAGCAAACCCATGTTTTAACCCCAGTAAACAGGAGGGCCAGATTCACATTCACATTGCCTTCTCAAAGGTTTCTAGAACCACAGTCATGGTGGTGAAGGATCTGTCAGTGCCATTAAGAATTTTTTTTCCCAGAGATAGTCAACACCATTAATAAGCTTAGATTGTCTCCAGGGGAACCTGCTTGGTACAAGGGTTGCCTGCAATTTTACTAACTAATGTGATTTATTTGTGTTTTGCAATATAGGACCCAAAATTCACTTAGTTCACAGCACACAGATGGTAAAGTCACCATCTCACTTAAAATACCATTCCTTCTGATTCCTCCATGATTAGTTTTTGCTGACTCACAAGCAACTTCTACTATGCAAGAGTATGTTGATCTTCAGCAACAGGTAACAGCATACATAGACACAGAGCCTCCAGCCTGGTAAGTCTAGCATGTGTCAGAAATGTGGGCTCAGGCAGCCACAAGTGGCTCTCTGCATCCTTGGTGGGGTGGAGAACACAGCCCTTAATACATGCTTCTAGCATATCTGCTGAGAAATGAAACTCCCTTCCCTCACACTCACCACAGCACAAAGGTATTTTGAATCCTACAAAAGGCATGCCAAAAATCAGATTTTTCCATCAACAGAGAAAATGAGGAATGTGTGTATCTGGTCTGTTGGGCTCCAAGGGGGAGATGATTAATCACCAGCAAGGGAGGATGAGTGTAGATGGCAAGTCAGCATCTCTAAGTATTTTGTTTTTCCTCCCATATCCCTTTCTCCTTTTAAAATGAATTTTAAGAGATTATTTACAGTAAAGTCCCCTCCACATGCTTTGGCATCTTGTCTGAAGTCACATTCTTTCTGCCAGCATTCAGAAAACACTGGTCTAGAAAACAGGACCTACCTTATAGACAAACCAAGAAGAACAGTGTTTCAGGAATAGCTGTAGGTGAAGCCTTGGAGAGGGACTAAGATGGCCTGTCAAGGGCAAGTGAATGGAATCCCAGCCTCAGTGAACCCACTGAGTATTTTGCCCCATCACAGTATATTCTTTCCTCACCAAATTTCTGTCAAAATTCTCAAGATTTCACCAGAAATTTTTTGTACCTCTAGAGTCTGCTGTTGATGAGAGCTTCTGCTATGATTCACTCAGGCTGTACAGTCCAAGAATGAATGACTCAGCATAAGGGATGAGCAGAAGACAAGCCATGGTGAGTGGTGGCCTAGTGATGCTGCGATTTTTAACCCCCAAGTCACGGAAAGTATTACAGTACAAACCACATTTGGTGGAAACAATGCAGGATAAACTACAAGACCTGTGCTGGTGAGATACTGCACTTGGATTTAAACATAAAACTGAAGTTTTTATGCAACTACAGTCATTAAGAGTCACTTAGTATTCACTGAGTAATAGTCACTAATGTTTGCACCCAGAAAAAATTCTTGCTCAGATCAGTTCCTGCCCTATGGTTTCACTTGAACACACTGTTTTCCATTTTGTCTTAAACTCTTGACTGGAAGTGAGGTATTTCCTTTAATACTTCTATATTAAGACTAACATCTACGTCATTTATAAAGAATTCCAGATTCACAGGGAATGGGAAACACTACAAAAGTGTGAAAGAACAGCCTTTTCCTCTTTCTTTTAGGTAATAGAAGAGGCAAAACCCACTAAGCTTCTTTCTGAAGATTTTATGCTGTAGTTTTGATCCTGAATGGACAAAAATTCTTACAAAGCCAGTGATTTTCCTCCAAAGGAAAGTTTTAAAGTGGTTTTGATGAAAAGTGTACATACAACTGGTTCTCTGGTACAAACCTGTTCTTTAACCTTAGTGCTGGGTACATGGGGAGAACACCCACATAAATCTGATTAATACAGACATGGCAGAAGGGAGAGGTGCTGGGTAAGAGGTGGCCCACTATAGATCAAGGGAGCTCACCCTAGGTGCATGCTAGGGTGTGGTGCAAAGTAACACAGGCACTGCAGGGCTAGAACTGGGCTTTCTTTCTTCCAGAAACACTAAACATTGGCTGTAGGACCTAAGCAAGAATAACCAGGAATCACAAACAATTGGGACACTACTGGGAAAGTCGTATGAGTGCAGCTTATCAGTCACTATAGTAGTGCTCATGTGGAAACAACCCCACAGCAGTAAATCTGGCTTACAACAAAAAGACAAAGAAATCTGAGCACTGGGGACTGACATAAGTAGGTGCCAGTAGGAGGGTTCGGGACATGTTGTGCAGGCTATTTGTAGAGACATGTTTCTGGCGTTCTGAGTCCATAAATAATGTTTACAAAAAGGTATTAGGTACCTTTCCCAAGGGCTGCTAGAAAAAAGGGATAAACAGACCAGAAGGTGCTAAGGCACATTCCAGTTTGGGGAGGAGAAAGAGGCTGCCAAGACATCTCTAGCAGACTTATTATGGTATCTTTATGAAACATTTGCCTTTTTTACCCAGAGGGCAGGGGTGACGGAATTATGATTCCTTGCTCTGACAATACTGGAGATCAAATGCTGTATCTGGATGGACTGCACTCTCTTGTCTTGGAGCCACTCCTGCAAAGGTGTCCTAAGCCAGGCTGACAGCAGCCAGAGGGGTTTCTGGCAGCTGCTCATATCCCAGGGAAATGGCAGGTATATAAATCGATCTCATCAAGCTTTGGAAAAAGCGGGGAATGAGGAAAATACTTGGATTTGCACAAACAAATCTTGCCTTGCTCCATTCTTATTTACAAGGTTGATTAAGGACAAAACATCACCTCTTTAACCCAAACAAAGCAGCACCATGCAGAGAGCACTGCAGGTCTGCTGATGTCCTTGCTGTGATCTCACTGGGGCTTCGAAGTGCACTCACATTTTAAAGAAATGGATTACGATGATAAAAGAGAATTATCTTTGCTTTACCCTCATATGCTTAGTAAACTCCCATGAAAACTTAGCAAATTCCTCCTGCTGCTTCCCCAAATGTCTTTCCCTCAGGCCCAAACTCAGTTATTTCTTTAATCCTGTGCAGGAGATCCAAGATCAAAGTTGGTGGGACTTTGTTTCATCCCAGCTATTCCCAGCACCATCCCTGGAATTCAGACAGCTGCTGGTTTTCATTCCTCAGCCATGGGCTAGCCAGATCTGACACTTCAGTGTTAACCCTTAGTTTTGGCATGAATTATGAACTGGAGTCTTGTCTCCTGAAAACTCCCCTGTTCTGCAGCAGATGGCTCACCTTCGCTGTGGTACCCCATGGGAATAAATTACTTACTGGTGTTTTCTTCATGGATACCAAAATTCCAGTGGCAAAAGAAGGGATCCCTGTGGAATCTAGGATCTGAGATGGAAGGTGATCTATCCATTATATTATCCCTGGGAGAGGAGGACAAGAATTGAAAACATGAAACATTTACTGGAAAAAACAAGACCAGCCCTGTATTTAATCAAAACATTTTGTTTTGTTCCACTTGTAATTATTTCCATCCAATGAAAAAATACTTGAACAAAGAAAATGACAGTTCCCTTCCATGGGCAAACAAAATAAGAAGTCATGTCAGTTCCTGTACAATGCTACAGTGAAGGCAACATATTTTTAATGCTGTGTTGAAATTGTCTTTACTTGTATTGCAGTAACACTGAACATACCAATTTAGGTTTAATGATCTAATTTCACTGTTTGTTAGGCTAGTGGTGAGAAAAGATTTTTAGGGAAAAAAGCTGAAGTGACACTTCATTTCCCCTGAAACTCATGAGAATGTGAATATGAACACTGATTACACACACATGATTGACTAGGCAGAGGTTCCAAAAAGATGAAGACAAACCTGAAAGCCCAGTGAATTTTTGCCATTGACAGCTATGCTAGCACCTTGCTTCTTTTTTGCTTCCTTCTTTTTTTTTTTTTTTTTTTAATTGGGAACCCTAGTTTTCACATGGTGGAAAGAGGTAAAAAGGAAAAAAAATATCCATTCTTGTACGAGACTCACTTTTACACCCAAATGACTGTCTCATAATCAAGGCAATAAATTACAGGTATCTTAGTTGTAGTTTATTGATATCCCATGCCAGGCAAAGGCTCTCTGTATATTTACTTATATAATTATCGTGTTCCTAAAGAAAGTAATAGTTTATGCAGGTTTACTACAATGCCTGACTGCCCTCCCTTCCCTGTGCCTCAGGTACCTGAAGTTTGTGTTCCCTACAGGAAAGTGGAAATAACCTTGGAGGCTTCTTCAAAACTGCTTCAAAACACATTGAGATCTACTGGTGAAACAGCAGTAGGAAAACATTGTCACTTCCAGATGCTGGGATATTTTTTTCCCAGTGCTCTCAGACATTCAGCATCACACTTGCATTTTCCTGCCTAGAACAGGCTAACTATTTTCTCTTCAATATCGGCTGACTTCAGTGTCCAGGTGAAAAGTCATGGACATCGCTACTTGCTTTTAAATGTTTTTTTACCCAAGAGCATTATTCTGGTTTCTGCATTGCCTTGGTATAAGTCCTGCTTCCTGGCACTATCTCTGCACCTCACCCATCCAACTCAACAGGTATATTTTCATACCCTCTAGCAACAGATACTTTGTGGAGGAGTTAGTGTCTGCCAAGTCTGGTTCAGTACTAATTAATTCAGGCTGCTTGCCATTTTCTCCTCCGACTCAAAACCAGCAGCACACCAATCACATACATTTTTCAGCAGCACGTCGTCTGACTGCATCAATATATGTCACTGACATCCATCTGCATGGCCCTTTGCTGCAACACAAACACAATTCAGCTGCCTGCTTCTCAGACAGGTGTGACATTTCAGGACCCACCCAACATTGACTTAAACCCCTGTCAGTGTGTTTTGCAGCAGAGAGCATGGCTAGTTTTTAAGTGGCGTGAAGTCAGCATCTGTTCTGAGGAAAAGGATGGTTTTGAAAAAGTAGAAGTTGCCCAAAATGTGCCTACTCAACACAGGGAGAGATGTCTGGGGAGCACCACTGTAAGAATCAGGAGGCTGACCTGCTGGGTGGCTTGTGGGGCAGACCGAGAACAGGGATGTAAATCTCCCCCTTGTAGGAGGCCAGCATTTTGGTAACAGGGGAAGGAAGACTATTCCTTTCTTTTTGTGAGAAGAAAGCAGGGTGCCCAGGTCTTCACCAAAATACCAGGATGAAATCACAAATTTTATGTGAGACACTTAAACTGGCTGGTACCAAACCTCATATTACTCATGGAGAGCTCCACCTCCTTCTCCCTCTGGGTACTACTGACATTGCAAAATCCTTTTGCTAACCACAATTCTTTCCACATAAAATTTTCTGCGCCAGCAGAGAAGTCTGATCTGCTCTGGGAGGTCAGCACCACTTCTAGAGCTTTCAGCTACAAGTATTATGGCTTGCAAGAAACCAGCAGTTAAAACTGATCAATCAACCATAAAAGTTTATCTCTATGACAAAGAATATCCTAAAAAAACCCCACAGTCAGCTACTAACTAGAACTGTCTACCTTGTCTAACTTTGTCTGTCTTATTACCCCCCTTTCTCTACCTATGGCTTTAGGATTACCTCTCTTTCTCCTAGAACTTTCTCAAAGGACTAATGTACACGATTCAGACCTGTATTAAATCTCTGAAAATGTTTAGTTGTTCAGGTATAGGGCTTGGGTTATGTTCATATATCAAAATTGCCAGATCATTAGCTCTTATGTGTTAGGATAGGAAGTGAGTTACAAAACTCATGCACACGTGTGCCGTGATGGATTTTCTCTAAGTGCCTTTTTCTGAATTCTGATGATTGTGAGTCATTGCAGGCAGGAATTTATATAGCCAGAAAGGTTAAATATAAAGATATCACTCTATTGTCCACCAACAGAGACTAGTATATGAAGAGAAAGGCCAGGGATGTTCAGAGTTAAGGAACATTTCTATTCTAAGTGGACAAACATGTAATGATACCTGCAAGTCTTACTGATAAGAATGTGCAGACACTTGGGTTAGTGCTGGAGCCAGGAACGTTACACCAGATCTGATGCAGAGTGAGGGTGCACTGCTATGGCTGCTCTGCCCTCAGTGCTCAGGAACACCCTGGCCACCCAGCACAGCTCAGCAGCTTCCCAGCATAACCACTTGTGATCCCCCGAGCTTTTTTCTGTGCTGTGGAATTACGCTGTTTCTCCTTTTCAAAAAGCAAGGGTTCTCCATTAGAAAAAAACCCTCTACAGCAGGATCCTGCAGACCTGTTCTGTCTTCATAGGAATATCCACAGCAGTTTAGGGATTCACACTGACTTTTGTCTCTGCTTGGGCCAAGTCACCTACAAATACCAGGACAATGACAACAGTCTTGCTATTTCTGAGGTTCCTGGTGGCCAGGGTGAGTGATTGCTGGCAGCTCACTGTCCCCCATTCCTGCCATCAGGGATAGGTGAAAGGACACTAGTCAGGGTATCTGCTGCATCCATAAGATTGGCAGGGACATCCCTCAGTACAGCAGTTCCCTGTTGCTTCAGCAGTCCCAAACCTGCCTTCAGCATGGGAAAACAGGGAAGCAGTGGAAAGGGGCACTCCTGGCTTCCCACACCCCCTCCTTTCCCTGCTCATTCCCTTACTGAATCCTCCCCCAGCCTTATCACATTCCCTCCATTCCTCTCATCACCCTCTGAGCTTTCCTCTGAAATGCTGAGCCTGTTCTGCTGCCATCCACGGGCTTCCAGATCCCCTCTCTCAGACCTGTTCCATGGGGTTCCTGGCCACTGCAGTGAGAGGGGTGGGGGAACCCTCACCTCCCACTCATTGTCTTCTGCCACAGCTCTAAAAAATATGTATTCACTCCTTATCCACCTCTGCTCTCAACAGCACCACATAAACCCCCCCTCTTCTTGATGCTATCTATTTACCATAACTCAGTTTCCATAAAATCTCCTCCACTTATTCTTTTCTGAAGCACTCTTATCTTATCTTGCAAACCTGACTTGACATCAGGCAGTTTGGTGTTTATATGAAAAAAGGGTTTGGCTTTTAATACAGTCCAGCAGCCACAAACAGAACTAGATCTTCAGAATAGCTTAGCCTGCATTTTTGGGCACTAACATGAGAAGCCAGGTCTTCCAAGAGAGCTCTGTTGTAATGGTGTGCATTGAAAATATTACTTTAAATATCCCTGAAACAGTTAGATGTGAAGTCTTTGCTGAAAAGTCAGACTCTAGCTTGGTGCAGCCTAGCTCACCTGAAATCTGCTCTGCAGCCTTTTGCAGTTCTTATGAGTCTTTTCCTGGTTTCCTGCTGCCTCCTCAGCCTGCACAACGCAGGTTATCAGGCCAAGGGTAAGGCTGGCCCCTGCTAATTCTGAAAGACTGGAACTTGATTCATTCAGTTTGCAAACCTGGGACAATACTTTGCTGTGTCTTTGCTTGTTGCTTTACATTGAAACTATCTTGGGAGCAAGCAAATTGTGCTACCAGACTAATTGACCAAGTTGGGTCATCTGGAGGTCAGGGTGCTTTTGTTTTGGGTTGGGTTTTTTTTAAGAGCACTACCAAGAACTCTGGGGAAGGTACCAGCGAAAGCTCTCTTTATACAAAACCACAAAAAAATACATATGCCCATTATTTTCACTTGGCATGGAAACTTGTGTGTCAGTTCAATTGTATTGGCTTTCAAAAAGAATAACTGTGCAGTGACTGTTCTGGTGTACAACAGTTTGGTGACATCTGTCCTCCATCCCATGAGTTGCGGAACACCACAAAGTCATTAAATGATCTATCACAAACCTCCTGTTATTTCAGGATACGGAAATATCTCCCAAGTGCTGTATATAGACTACGGATTCATCATGAGCCAACCTGGAAACTTCAGTCTGAGCAGCAGTCTTAAATTAGTAAGTGCAGGGAAGTCTGCAGTAAAACAGCAGACTGTCTCCAGTCATGCCACACTAAACAAGCATACAAACAGAAGTAGAATTTTATAGATAAAAGCACAAATAGCACTGCTAAGATAAAAATCACAAGGGTCCCAACCCCTGAAAGTCCTTGGTAGTATTTAATTTTTTACTGTGGGCTTAGATCAGATTGGAACAGAGGGCATATGAATATATCACTGGCATTTCCCATCTGGACCTAGAAGAGCCCTGCTTTGAGGTTGGTTTGGAAGGGAAGAAATGTCTCTTCAAGACAAACTTGCTTTAGTTACTCTGGGAAGCCAAGGTCACTTATTGCTCGTAGAAACAGTTTAATACAAACTTGTAGGTTCAATGTTCAGGCAGCTTTACAAAGGAGAAACAGGGTTTTTTTTCTCATTTTCTCAGCTAGGGACACGAAAAGCAAAGAACACTGAACCAATGCGCTGAGGAGGGAGAGCACCTCAGTGCCGGTGCCATATCTGAGCTCCTGTGCCCATTCTGTCACAAGAAGAAGTGCCAGATATGGGGACACACTGCAGCAGTCACCTGGTGCTGCACACAGTTGTACACAGACTGTGATGTAAGATCCACAGTCATGTTACCAACCTCAGTTCACAAACAGTGGAGCCACAGATATCCTCCGGGATGTCCAGAGGAAATACACACCCAAGAACTGGATATCAGAGTTGTACACAAATGAAAGAGCATCGATTTGGCTTCAGCAGGAGATTTCTTAAATAACAGGTTTTTCAGAAACACATGCTATTTGTCAAGTACATCCTGAGGTCATCCAGACAGGTCCTTGACTACTGAACCTATCTGCTCATCAAGGACAGTTGTTTTCAACATTTTTCAGCTTGGGAAGCCCCTGTATACTTTACCAGTGGAGGTCAGGTCTCATGCAGTATATTTAAATTTGCTAACAGTCAGCCTGCTTTCCTCAGTTACTCCTCCTTAGTACTGGAGCAGCTAGATCCATAGGAACTGACAACCACTGCTCAAGGCCATGTTTACAGTATCTTTTTTTTTTTTTTTTTTTTTTTTGAGATCCCATGTGGCAACTCTTAGTGCTTCTGTTGAATCCTGGGATAAGTGAGCTCCATCATTTCACTGAATGGGGGAAATCTAGGCTCTGATATATTGCATGTCAACAGTCACTGTTCCCATTTTTTTTAGAAGGTGTACAACAATGTATACCCCCTCCAAGCAGGAAACAGTAAATTCTGTAATGAAACTGTGAAAGAGCAATTATGAGTGCAATTAAGGTGAAATATAGCTCTATTGAAGTTGGTGGGAGTTTTATTATTAACTAAAGTTTCACCCCTGTGTTTCGGGTGGATAGTTATCCTGTTCAAGCAAAGAAATTGTTACTTAATCAAAATGACATTTATAATGCAGTATTACTTTCGTATTCAAACATTCAGGACACGTTTACTTTAATCAGTTCTAATTAAATTGTTATACAGGAAAAAGTTTTAGGTCTACTGGTGAGTGCTCATATATTCAGGGGAAAAGCAATGCAAATTGTCCAGGATCCCATTAAGTGCTATTTGTAGTTCTTAAACTATGTGATGTTTTAGCAAGTCACATACAACTCTTCTGTTCTACTCCTCTGAAACCGATTGTCCTAAACTGAGAGTGGACGCTTCTGAACTAAAGCAACCGCAATATTTACAATGATGCAGCATTTGCAACAAGGTAAATGAAGCAGTGATTGCCAAACCTTCAGCCCCACTCATTGCGAGGTTTAAGCAGCACTTTCACAGCCACTGGGATTCTCCAGGTATTAAAAGCGAGGAAGCAAAGAGGTTGAGGGATGCTCTGGATACTCTCACACCCCATCTCTGGGCCAGGATACAGGGTTGGCACATGCCTGGCAGACCCTGCCCAGCCTGGCTTCTTCCCAGCAACAGATCAAGAGAGGGTGGAGGGTACCCATTTTCCTGCATTGGGCAGAGTCATGATGGGGGTAGAAAACCAGGTGAAGTCCAGGCCTGGCTGGAGCTTTGCAGGCCTGCTAACACCTCAGAGAGTAAAAAGGGAGGCCCGGGTCAACAAAAGCACTCTTTTGCGTTCCTCCTCATCACCTTTTCATACAATTTCATGGTGGAAAACCCAACCCTTCCCTCATATCTTCTATCTTTTTTGTCACGGTCCCTTGGATCTAGTCCATCTAGTCCCATCTAGTTTTACAAGTCTGCTCATGACAATGCAGAACATGAAAATATCCTGCCCTTCCAGCGTGACCCTGATCATGACTTGTCCTTTGTCAGGGCCACAGAAGCAACCCCCTGGCACCCCCAGAACACCAAGGTCCCAGCAGAAGAGTAAGGCACCTCCCCCTCACACCCAGCTCAGCTTGCTTCCTTCCTTCCTTGTTGGCACTGGTCCTCAAGCACCTCTACTACCTTTTCTGCTCCTCATCAGCTCTCCAGCATCACTCCTGTCTCCTCCTCCACTCACACTTGACTGCCTCACCAGTGTATGGCCCCAAGCTGCTCACCACTGCTCTGCTACCCATCACATCCCAAACCAGGCACCATCCTCTCTTGGCTGAGACCTGGTGCATACTTAAAACCACCGGTGGAGAGGCATGCAGGTGTTGTGAGGTGAGGAGCTGCTGATGGGGACCCCCTCTGTGCCTGCATTGCCACCATCCAGCCTGAAGCATCACAGAAGGAAAACAGAGGGTTTGGGTTGTGCCATAACTCAGAAAGCAGCCAGCACAGCACAGTACAATGCAGCTCAGCCTGCCTTGGGAAGGTGTTGATGAAGTATGCTAACTTGTCTCTTGGCTGAGAAAAGTATGGACCCTGAAGGCAGGTAGTCCACAGGAAAGCAAGCGAATCTGTCCTGGCTCTGGAGGCCTAAAGAGCAGTGACTGGGTTTAAGCACTTGGTAAAACATCTTTTGAAGTCAGCCCTTCAGCCCAACTCAGTGAGCACAAAGGCACTTCCATTGTGCACCAGAGGAAGTAGTGTGCCTGGCAAGCCACCGGGCCCGACTTCCCAGGGCAGAGTTCTGGGCAGCTGCTTCCCATGTGGTTCACCAGGGCTCCTTTCACAGCAGGGTGGCGTGGGGACAACATACGTGCTCCAGGATCCAAATACACCGGGCATTTGAGCCTTCTCTGCTCTTAAAGGGCTGGTGGACACACCAACAAGCAGAACTGGTGCTGAGCTAGGTGTCAACTTTTTCTCCTCTGTGTTTGGGGAATTGCCTGGGGCAACAGCTTCCTTAAGAGATGCAGAGAAGGTGCAGAGTGGTTTTGATTATATAGGCAGTGTTTGCTCATTTTGAGAATTAGGTGTTAGTAAGTTCTAATTATGTGAAAGAAGAGCAAAAACTGAAATGTATTTAGGCTATGACAAGGGTCTGGAATAAGACACAAGATTTGCAAGAGTTAACACATTATGTCTAACAGAGTCAGAAGCTCCTCATTACCTCAAAAAGCTAATTTTTGCACCATGAGTGCATTGCAGTGAAACAACTTCCTCCTATGTGACCCCAAACCTTCACCTGGACAAGCTGTACACATGCAGGCCACTGCCAAGTTAGCAAGAGAACCATTTCACAGGAAGCTGGAGTCTTCTGGAAACTTCCGTTTACAGGAATGCAAATATTATGCAATTCCTCTTTGAACCCACACATCTTTTTTTTTCCCTTTGACCTGTCCCTGCTGTGAGGGGCTGCTGGCTGAGGCAGCGTGGGCTCGCTGGAGCCATGCCCACTGACACCCTGCCTGGCACCCGGCTCAGCAAGGCAACAGCCCCACGATACCCCCAGGCTGGCACTGACACCCTCATGCAAAGGTGCTGCAAGTCCTCACCTAAATCACACTAATACTGCATGGCTGGCATGGCAGATCAGGCAAAGGTAGCTAAAACCTAGAGAAGAAAAAACCCCATATAGTCACCCAGGTCCAAGCCCACAGTGGTGGATGCTGCACAGAACATACCCTCCCTCTCCTTTCTCAGCTGTTGGCGAGTACCCCCATAACACAGCATCAAATCCACCCCTTTTCCCACTCTCTCACACAGAAATCCAATGTCTCTCTGCCTGCTACATCCCAAAACCTTTCTTATACCAGAGTGAATATTAAAGTCAAGAAGGTGATTGCATTGTGTCAATGTGCCATGCTGCAGGTGTACAAAACAAACCAGGAGGTAATCAAGCAATCTGTCCAGATCCAGCCTTAAACTAAGGGGTCAGGGAATGGGACGGAAAACAAGGTCTAATGTGTATGTATGATGAAAGGTTGACAGTTATTTCATTGTGTGCATCAGTGTGAAAAACCACAGTGACAATGATACTGGAATGTGTTTTTCGTCACCATGAATACTTCATGCCAGGTGGAGAGACCTTTCACATGCATGAGAAATCCTGTGCTTTGGGGGCTGCACAACTTAAAGAAGATGGGCCCTGAAACCACTAGCAAAAATCCTGTTCTCCCAGACAAGCTGTGGCAGAAAGAGATGAAGTTATTTTCATGTGAGACATGCCTAAAGCCAAACAGCAGAGGAGCACCTCTCCCAGCCTCACCTCACCTGTGCAGAGCTGCACCTGCTCAGGGATTTGCCCTGCTACTGCATGTTATGGCTTCTGGGCAGTTTTTTGAAACAGAACTCACATTTGACAGACATCCTCCTTTGCAACTGCAGAGTATCTCAGTGAACCCTGTAGCAGTAATTTTTATGGAAAATCTGGGATTGCACAGTAGTAACTGGGGCATGAGAGAACAACACAATGGCCCAAACAACACAACAGTTTTGAGGAGTCACCACTAAATGTATCTCTCTTGCTTTCTAGGCTTCTAACTTAGAAATTGTAGTACAGATAGACCTTGCCCAACCCCCTCACCCACTCTCCTAGATGCAAGGAGCTCCCTGTGAGCTCGTGCTTGACTTCTCCGCAGTAGAGAAGTACCCTCTGCTCTGAAGATGATTCCCACAAGCTCCAAGTTGACAGAGATGATAAGAAACAAAGGATGCAGCTGTACACCCAGGGGATCCAGAGACACAACAGCTTTCCACATTTGTGGACTTCTTTGGGTGGAGAGTTTTCTCATGACTGAGGAAATTGATGCATCCATCAAAAACTAAGCTGATGCTGACTAAGAGTTTTTTTCTCTTCCTGTTACATCCTCTGCAGCTCAAGAGGGAATTTCCTGCCCAGTTAAGATTTGGAGAACACACTCCACACTCTCAGCATATGGGTGAATGGGAAGGAGGCCCAGCCCAAGGACTGCCACCTGCAGGGAAAGGGCAGATGTAGTGTGGGCCAAAAGCCACAGTAGCCACAGTCCCTGGGCCAGGCTGTCCCTGTCTTCCCTGCTTGGCTGGTTCCTTCTCATCCCTGTGCTCTGCCCCAGGACAGCAACATACAGCTCAGCCCCAGGACCCCACCTTCCCCTCACTAACAAGCTGGACTTTAAGGAAAAGGAGTTGATCTTCTACAAAACTCCCAATTAAATGGTGTGATCTGACAATACTCTCACTGCCAGACAAGACATGAAGATGCAAGATAGAGGCATCTTTCCTTTCTTGTTGTACTTCAGCAGCAACTGGATTCAATATACACAGGGAACGTGATCTTTCCCATGTCAAGGGTGTTCACAAGGTTCAGACAAAAGCACATTAATAATCAGTTTCCCTTTTCTGTACTTTTTTCAAGCTTGGACACCAAAACCAAGCATCATCTTTATTTCTTGTCTGTGGGCTGTTTTTGATGAGGGCTGGAATTGGTGGCGTTTTCCCTTTGGAAGGTTTCACTGCTGTTCATAATACAAGCACAAATTGGTAAAATCTCCCTTTGGATTCAGTAGATGCATTTACACTGGCATAAAAGTCCTAAGCATCCTAAGGCTTTTTTCTGATTCTATGCTAAACTATTCAAGTGTAAACCATCTTGATGCTAATATAGCAAATAAAAGTTGAAAAAGTACATAAAACACAGTTACGCTACTAAAACTTTCCAAGTGTAGACAAAAGTAATCACATGCAACAACTAACAGCTTTGTGGAGCCCTCTAGACTCTGAACATTGTCATATATTGTGTCAACACAGGGCATTTCCAATTTAATTATCAGTTTCATACACACAAACACACCCTCTTGTGAAAGTACCTAGAGCATTGAAATCTTGTGCTCACTGCCAGCCATTTTCATTCCATGTTTGCCCTAGCCCACGGCTAGAGTACTTGTCTTGCACACATTCCAGGGGATATTTTATTCTTGTTCAAATGCTTACTGTCAGTGGGTTGTTTTATTTATTATATTTGGTAACACAGTAATTTCTGTTGGCCTCAAGCATTTGTTGAACACAGGGGGTAAAACAAGCTTAGAAAGAGCCAGCTTGAGACTCCTCAGGAACTTCAATTTCTGACAGCGTCATACACTTTTGCTTACTACAAATTAGATACTTTTCAGAATGCTTTGAGCTGAAACTACTTACAAACATCAGTATTATTGCTTTTTCCTTTCTCCAAACTAGTTATTTTTAAAAAAAGAGTCTTCAGGTAGTATAGGAGTGGGCTCAGCAGTGTACAAAAGAATGGAGCTCAATGGCAGAAAGAGAGTGCAATGGTGTATGGGCAGCAGAGCTGAAGGTGAGAAGCTAATTCTGTGTCCCCAGAATTCCTTTGGCTCTGCTATTGCATTCATGCTAAGATATCTGTAACTACTTTTCTGCTGCTATAATAATTTAAGTCTGCCCACTGCAGCTGGGAGCTGAGAGGGGAGTCCAAGCTGGTTGTATGGGCAGAGCACAGCAGCATGTCACACACTAAGCACACAGCACTAACCACAGCACTCCCTCAGTGCAGGAAACATGGACCTCCTTCCCCAAGGGAACCTAATGCTTTCCTTCTCACCAGCCCAAAGAGCGTGGACAACCTGGCTCTGTCTGCACAGTAAACCACACCCTTTGATTTCCCAGAAAAAGAGGAATAGGTGCTGGGTGCACCCTGAGTGTCTGGAGTGTTTCAAGAAAATCAGATGCAGCCCACAAAAACTCTATCTCACTGCAGTGGGAAGCAGGGGGGGAGCAGTCAAATCCTCCCAGCTTGAGTAGAAAAGATGCCTTTTGGTAGACGACACAAATTTGGGAGCAATTAATAACACAAAAGCAATGTGGTGGGAAAAGGGGCCAATTAGACACGCTACCTTTAAATTGTGGCTGGTGCCAACCAGCAAAGTCCAGTGACTGCTACAGCAAAAAGTGAATTCACCTTGGTTGATACTTGGCCTGAAGTGTGTGTTGCAGAGGCACAGGAGGGCTGGCACCTGCAGAGCATTGGGGCAACTGGACTGATCTCCCCTGACAGCTCCCCTCTCACTCACTTTCTCATGGCATTTGTAGCACCACTCTGTGTTCTCCTTGGGGCCACTGATCCTATGGACAGCTGAAGTCCACGGAATTAGGCCGGTTTAACCGGTGGAGCAGCACATTTTCTCCTGAGAGTGCTCATGTCAGCAAAAGTCTGAATGGGGGAGCAATGCAAGGACTGGTACTGTCTTAACAAGCAGAGACCCCGTATAGGTTATGGGGTTGCTTCTTGTAGGGAACTTGTGCTCCTTAAACATAGCCTAAGAGTAATTTCCCACACATTTCCCAAGACAACACTCCAGTGGGCTCAACCATGCCAGGGTATCCCAGAACACTTCATGGCTGGCTTGTGTATTTGGAGTTCATTCCAGTAGGGTGACACTGCGAATCTGCCCATGGGAGCTTGCACCCAGGACAGTCCTGAACCATCCTTCTCACCCCCCTTACCCACTGCAGTGCCAGTGACAACCAGGGCAGTTATGCATTATGAACATATAACATGCAATTTAAATAGAGAACAGAAAAAAAAACTGAAAAAAATAAAAACAAAAAAAACCCAAAAAACAGCAAACCCACTCTACTCTTTTATTCTCTCTCCTCCCCACCCAAAACATTCCAGCCTTCCCTGCCACTAGAGAGGGGAGTTGTTTATTGATATTATGCAAGCACTGATTTTTTTTTTTTTTTTTCCTTCTCGCCTGTCCTTTTTTTCCCTCTCTCCCCCTCTCTTCTCCGGGGGTTGCAAAGGTAGTTCAAACCCCTCCAGTCATCTCGGCTTATCAGCCACAGGAGATACATTCCTCTGGGCTGCTCCCTTTATAAGTCACTGCTGGCCGGGCGNGGCGCCGCTGCCGCCCCGGCCCCATGCTGCGCTCCCTGCTCTCCGGCTGCCTCTGTCCCCTCGCAGGTAAGGCTGCCAGGGGCGCGTCCCCTCTCGCTTCTGCCGCCGGGCCCTCAGCCCCTGCCCCGGGGCCGGCAAGCGCTGCGCTTAAGGAACCGGTTTCGTTTCCTCTTAAATGGGCTTGTTTCGCCTTGGTAAGCGCGGCAAAGCTCGGGAGAGAGGAGCAGGGGAGGTGGGAGCACTGCGGCTCCGAGCGGTCCGAGCTGCCGCGGGACCGGCAGCCAGAGGAGCGGCTGCTCCCGGCACCACCGACAGGCGGCTCGGGGCTGTCCTCCGCCCGGGCAATGGACATGGGCTCGCTCTCTAGCCTACTGCATCCCCAGCCAACAGCAGTTGTCGCGGGTTCCAAGTGTTTCACTTGCTCCCTCCCGTGCAGATGAGGTGACCGTGGCAGGAAAGACAGCTATAGTCCTGCAGCTGATCACCTGTAGTTTTTTTTTAAGCCTACTGTGCAAACAAATTATGTGGTCTCAGTGTGCCTTTTAGAGGTATAATGGGGCCACTATATTAATTATTATATATATACCTTAGCCAGAGTTGCAGACTTTGAGTTCACAAGCCCCATGTAGCAGAATTCTCTTAGCATGCCTGTTTTTACCCCTCAACTTGGCTTGTGGCAGCTGTAAACGAGATGGGCAGGCTCTGTCTCATTGGCATCACTGCACTGAGCTGGTTTGCTTGGCATGCAGGCAGGGTTTGTCGGAGTGTAAATATAGTGTGCAGTGAAACAGCAGTGCGGTAAAAATGTTGCAAACCCAAGTGTTTGGGGTGGTTATACCTCCTGGGGTCCTGGCTTCCCGTCCTTACGCCAAACTCCTGCCTCCTTGGAGTGCTGCAGAAATTGTTCCGTGGAGTCATCAGAGCCGCCACATTATTGGGCATCCACTCAGGTACTCTCTGCTTGAATTGTGCCTCCCAGCTGTCCTGGTCTGGGGCAGCTACTCAGAACTCAGTGTGAGCTGGAGCCTCTGAGGTGCCCCAGCAGGTGCCCGTTAAGCGCTGTTGCCAGCAGGACCGCTGAAGCACTTTGCTCTGCCCGGGCTCAGTCTGGAATCTGCTACCCAGTGACACAAAGGGCTTTAGAGCAGTGCTGCTGTGAGAACGTGCCAGCATCCCCCTAAGATGTGGAGGGTGTTTGAGGAGTGTTTCACAGTGTGGTGGAAACCGCTCCTTTTTGCCCTGGATGTAATTTGACCATAAACTTGTTTCTTCCATGATACATAGTGCAAACCTGCTGGCAGGGTTAGGAGGAGGTGAAAGGAAGCTTGCTCTTCCATATGGAAGTGTCCCTCACCGCCCAGACACAGCAATATTGTTAATGAGGTTAATGAGGTAGGTGAAAGCTTTGGTGGGGGAGCAGTCATCCTACAGAGCACTGAGGGATCAAAAAGAAGCTCAGCTAGAACTTATCCAAATAAGAAGCGGCAATAGCACTCTCCAATCACCTGAGCTAGAAAAAGGCATCAAATATTATGTGTGTCCTGACTTGGATGCCTTCTCTATTCAGAAATAGCATTCTTGGCTCTTGCCAACTATAAAAGATTTCAGACACGCCAGAGTATGGTTACACCTGTCCAATGCTACCTTGTTTGAGCAGGAGCAGCTCTTCAGGGTGTTACTAAGGGACAGCAATGACTGATCATGAAGAATGGGTTAACAGTGACCTTTCTAATACAATTCTCGAGTTCCTTTGGCTTCAGTTGAAGCACTGGTGTCTAAATGGCCTTGGTCTTTGGGGCTATTGAACAGTTGTTTATCCAAGCTTATTATAGGCAATAAAACCTGAAATACTACATACCTGTCATCCCTGGGGGGCACGTTCCATCCTTGCAAAGGGCCTCCTGGCTCCTAGTTAATTTCTGGCTGAATAATCCTCTGTGATATGAGGCAGCCTGCAGATCAGATGTACAAGGAAAAGATCTAAATTAGACAGTTTTTGCCAATGTGTGATATATTTGTTTCTATTGTTTTCAATTTCTGCTCAGACATATCACTGAGTTGTGTGTTTAATAATATTTTACTGTTATACAGGGCTGCTCATGAAAACACTGTTTCCTTTATTTAAGGTTTTGAACCTTTCTTTTGGAGGAACACATGGGAATTTCCAAGGAGAAGGATTTGCAGGTCTTTAGCGGCAGCTGTCATCTCCCTGACAAAAATCTCACAAATAAGGCCCATAGATGATTGTAGGGCCTGAACCTCTTCCCTCCCCCAGCCCCCAAGACTGGTTATACCGCAGTGTAGGGAGAATTTGGGCACTGATCCTTGCGCACCAAAATTACCCTTGGCAAGGGGTTTCCCACTGGTTCAGAGATACAAAGAAATAAGTTGCAGTGTAAATGCAGAGATGAGTGGGAACAGCGCTTTAGCTGGTGCTGTTGCACGGGGTCAGGTGTTGATCCAAAGCTGGGGACTGCCAGCCTACACAAGTAACTGATAAACCAGGTGGTCTGAGGGGACCTGCTGTGCCAGAGGTCACTAATCTATCAGACCTGTCGTTTGGTTTCAAAAACTTCACAGGTCACTTGGAATGGATTAGGAGCAAGCTGTAAAAGTGTCAAGTGGCCTCTCTACTTGGAAATCCATTTCCTCTTTAGCTCACCCAACTATATCATCAGTAAACAATCAATCAATCTCCCTCTCATTCCTCCTCAAATGCTTGAAAAGAGCTATAATTATCGCCTCTTTTCTAAAACATAGGTACTAAAGCAATGAATGTCTCCTCAGAGTCCTTGAACCCTGTTATCTTTTTCTCGGCATCTACTTTATACCGATTTATCATTACCAAGCTGCAGCTGTGGAGACCCATAACATTTCTGGTCACATTATATTACCAAACTACGATCCTAAGGAACTTCACACACTTAACTAACATTGAGACTAGAGATCACCTTGGAGCCAAGGGATCTAAGTAGTACTTTGTGCTTTTTGTTCAAGGACTATCTGAAATCTCAGCTTTATCATAACTACTCCTTTGCATGCAACATTTTGAGCAAATCAAAT